TTGTGTAGGACAAAAAGACTCTGAGAGGAATGCCATGGAGCAGTTCTATCAAGATAGATTTTAAGAGACATGAACCTTTAAGGTGTTGTAACGTAATCCTTTTTCGAGGCCAGAGTGGAGAAATTCCAATGTATCCTCAGGATATTAATATGTTTAGAAATGTCCCAGGAAGAAAAAATGTCCCATACTCTATAATATAAAAGTGGAACGTTTTCTTACTTTGAGCAGTGTCAACAATTGCGTAGGAGAATCCTTTATTCATTAGCCTTTTCCTTTTAATCTCCATGCCATCAAATTGAGGGAGGTCGGATCTGGATAGAGAACAGGTCCTTGATACAGAAGATCTGGGACTCCTGGAAGCTGCCATGGGTGTTTCTTCACAAAGTCTCTGTAGGAATGGAAACCAGGTAATAATCAAGATGAGAGAAACATTTTTTTCTCCTCAGGATGGGGAAAGGGAGGAAATGCATACCCCTGGCTGAATTGACAACTGCTGGATAGAGCATCTCTCCCTATGACCTGAGGGTCATTGTCTTTTGTAAATCATTTTTTCACATTTCTTTTCTTTCACGTTGCCAATAGATTCACTTGAGGCCCAATTTCTTCACTATCATCTGGAACACTATGTTCGATAAGCTCCATTCTCCTGGATCTATCATGGTTCTGCTGTTCCCCCAGAAGATGGACTGCTGTCAGATCCTAGGAAAGCCTTTGCCTAGAGATTTCTTGTTTGGCCACCAGGGAATTGTGGACTAATGATGGCAATTTGTAAGGGCAGTGCAGGCTCTTTGAAGAAAACTGAAGAAGGAAATTTGCTTGAAAAGTCCTCATTCTCCATTGCGCTCACCTTATCAGTCCTATTGTGGAAGACATGGATCCTAGCAGACTCATAGCTTTCTTGGACGAAGTTACTTTGGATGCCAACATCTCTACTATCATTCCCTTGATTCTTAGAATTCTTTCTTGTGAGAGTTGAACAGTTCCTGCAGATGTATGTCATGGACTGAGTCGTGAAAAGATGGCTCTTTTTGACATTGATCTTCCATCCGTGATGTTGTAAGAACCGAAGGCAAACAAGAGCATGAGAAGACAAGATTTCTTGGTTGTCTCCTGTGACGAAGTGCCCTTCGCCACTTGGTCCTGGAGAGGCCTACTTGCCAGCCTCCTCCCTTGTGACTATGACTCTTTCATGTATCTGGCTTTAAAGCCCCTAGTCTACCTTCAGACAGACTATTTATGTAGGCTGCTTTATTTATCTTATGTTTTAGTCACCCTGTACCCATTATAGGTGCAGGGTGTGTGTAATGTAATTGTTTATAGTGTGTGTGTGTGTACTGTGTAATGTATTGCCTTCTCTCTTGTATTGCTGAGGTTTGCTACCAACTAGGTGGGTTTGGCTATGGAGCTGGTCTAGTGCCCTCTGTTGGTAGCAACAGCAATATGCACTACCTGAATTGCAAGACTGGTTCATTTGCATATTCGGGTAGATTTGCATATTGCTAATTCTGCAGGCAGGTGAGATATTTACTGTTAAATATTGTCTCCCCCCACCCCTTTAAAAATGTGCCATTGTGTTGTGATAAGTCACTGTGTGTTTCTTGATATGGTTTGACTGTTTGTGATTTTATTGAGGTTTCACAACAATGTTATTGTGGTGACTGTATTGGCTGGTCCCAAGGGAATAAAGGTTTTGACAGATCTTCTTGACCCTCAATACGTAGCCTTGTCTCGTTATTGGAGGGATCTGCTATATCACACTGGGGATTGCTATGCTCTGCATATTCCCCTGAGCTTTTAATCACTTAGCTCTTTTAAGAGCTGTTCCTGTTACGCTCTCCTGGAGGAGAGGTCTTCCCCACACGGTCCTGGAGGACAGAAGCTGATCCAGGGTGGAAGGAAGACGGCGAGACTCCAGTTAAGCTACGGCGGTTGTGGAGTCTGCGGTGGTTGTGGTGTCTGCTGCAGTGTTTGGAGTCCTCAGGAAGCGCTAGGAGCATCCATCAACGGAGGGTACTCGGTCGGAGTACAGGGAGCTCCGTTACATCTCCCACAATCAAGATGTCATCCAAATAATGAAAGATGGATATGCTCTGTTTCCTCAGTTTCGCAATGAGTACTACCAGTACTTTTGTGAAAGTCCTTGGGGCTGTGCTGAGCCCAAAGGGTAGTGCGCTGAATTGGAAATTACCTTCAACAGCGAACCTTTAATATTCCTGATGTTTTTGAGCAATAGGGATATGGAAATAGGTGTCCAATAAGTCTAATGACAACATCCACTGATTTGAAAAGACTGTCTTTATGATAGATTGCAGGGACTCCACCTTGAACCTGTGGATGTGTAAGTGTTTCAGTCTGTGTATGTCGAGAATGGGTCTCTGGTTTCCTGGTTAGGAAAAGGTTAGGAAACCATGAGTTCTTTTATAATAACAACTTTTTGTAAAAGAGGAAATTAAGTCTTGAAGGATGATGCTCTTTTCTTGGTCTACTGGCCATCTTGTGATTTGAAAAGATCTTAGTGGAGGTAAAAGTCCAGAAAATATCCTCTCCGGATAATTTCTAGAACCCAGTTGTCGCTTGTGGATTTCTCCCATGCCATTCAGAATTGAAGTAAACAGGCTCCTACTCCTCCTGCCTGGGGGATAATCTCATCACAAATTCTTGAAATTCTTGGAGGATAAAGCACCTTGGGACTTCCCTCCTCTAGTGCCAGATTGTCCATTTCTCCATGATTGATTTCTTCCATACTCCCTTCCTGGTTTCTAGGATCTGCTATCTTGGAATAGATAATATTCTCTTTTGGTACAAATGGGTCCCTTGGCTCTACGATCTTGGGACAAAAAGTCTCTTTTACCTTGGGCAGCTCTTTTGATACAGTCATCCAGGTTTTTGTTGAATAACATGTCACCATGAAATGGAAGGGAACACAAACTGCTTTTGGAGGAAGCATTGTCAGCCTATGATCTGAGCGAAAGCACTTTTCTAGCAGAAATAGAAAAAAAAACATTCTGGCTAAGATTCTGACTAGTTCTACTGCTGCTTCTAATGAGAAGTCAATAGCCAATTTCATTTATCTTGGGCAGTCCAGTTTGGAAGACCTGCTTCTGCCATTTTTAATGTCTTCTAAATAATCCATCCATAATGTCAGTGCCTTAGTCACCGATTTAAGGGCTACTGCTGGATGAAACCCTGTTCCTGTTGCCACATGCTTTGGAAAGATTGAAGTCCATCTTTTTATCCATTGGATCTTTTAAGGACCCCACATTATCAACTGGTAAAGTGGTAAGTTTGGCCAGTCTAACCACGGCTGCATCTACCTTGGGGGCAAAATCCTATGTTTCAGAATCCTTGATCTCAAATGGATAAAGCAGTGAAAATCTGCCTTTAGCAGAGGGCTTTCTGTCTGATCTGGACCATTCCTCTATAATAAAGTCTCTTATAGTTTTATGTACTGGGAAAGTAGCCCTTTTTCTCCGGAGATCAGAGAAATGGTTACTGGAGGTGGAAGTTCTTCTTTAGTAGACTCTTCAAAGTTAAGAGCTTTACGCACTCTGGATATTAAATGATCAACTAGAGGCAGTGGCATACACTAAACAATATGATATAATAGGCATAACTGAAACATGGTGGGATGAGACACATGACTGGGCAGTTAAGTTAAATGGGTACATGTTATTTAGGAAGAATAGGAAAAACCAGAAGGGTGGTGGGGTATGTCTGTATGTCAACCATGAGTTAAAGCCAAATCTTAAGCAAGTGGAATGTGATGAGGAAAATGTGGAAGCTTTATGGGTAAATATCTGCTTGGGGAAAAAGAAGGGAAATCAACTATTGTTTGGGATATGTTATAAACCACCTAATGTTAATATTGACGAGGAACAACAGCTGTTTGAGCAAATTGAGAAAGCTGCAAAGCTGGGTAACACTTTAATTCTTGGAGATTTTAATTACCCGGAAATAAATTGGGACATAGGGACTAGTAGCTCAGCAAAGGGAATTAGGTTTTTAACCCCTTAAGGACCAAACTTCTGGAATAAAAGGGAATCATGACATGTCACACATGTCATGTGTCCTTAAGGGGTTAAACTTGTTAAATGACACCTTCATGTCACAACTTGTACAAGCACCAACTAGAAAGGATGCTTGTCTGGACCTGGTTTTAACAAACAACGTTGATCTTTTGACCAACATTCAAGTAGGTGAGCACTCAGGAAATCGTGATCACAATCAGGGCCGGTGCAAGGAATTTTGTCTACACAGGCGAAGGAGCATTTTGCCTCCTCCCCCCCATATACATTTTTGGTTTTTTTTTAGAGAAAAATAAGAACAAATTTGTGGTTTTGTAAAGTGTATTTTATTAACATTTATTCAACAAAAACAAAAATAAATAACAATGCATTCAACTGCATGTAAACTGCAGTAACTATTACTCAAAATGCATGATGTAGTGCAACTAGTATCAAGGTGCTTTAAAACAAACATATATAAATACTATAAAAACTTTTATATAATGAATAAAACTGTACGCTTTAGGTTTCTGCAAGTGCAAATTCACCTAAAGTGTAAAGTGCTTTAACAGATATTGCACACAAACAAAGTGAGAATGGTAGCCTACAAAAACTTAACCCTTCTTGCTTTCGCAGTTACAAAATCATGAAGCAGAGTTTTAAAGTCAATCTCTTTTGCAATCTGATTTTCAATGGAAATCATTGCAAGTCCCACCAATCTCTCTTGAGACATAGAGGACCGAAGATAATTCTTTATTAACTTAAGCTTTGAAAAGCTTCGCTCCCCAGAGGCTACAGATATCGGCAATGTCAACAATATGCGAAGGGCAATAGACACATTGGGAGCAAAGCCATTTTTAAGTGCATACGCTAGAATCTGACTGGGTGTCATTGTAGGCCTCAAGATAGGAGCCAATATTGTAAGTTCCTCACAAAGGTGTGCTCCATCCAGGTCAGCATCTCCTGATTTATCATCAGTCAAAATATTCTGCAAGTCTATACAGTACTCCATAACTGCTTCCCTTGGTACATCTTTAAGTTTTTGTATATTATAAAGAAACTGGAAGTGCTTGCTGTGGTGCTTAATTTGCCCAAATCTCTCATCAAGAGAATTAATACATACATCCAAAATGCTGTAAAAGCACTCAATTTTACATTTTTTTGCAGGATCACAAATCGGATCATCCGGTGTTTCATAACTTTTTTTTTAGTTTGTCGCACAAAAGGAGGAAACACAGGATCTATTTCCATTTCTAATGATAGGTCTTTTGCCTCTTCCAGTAAATCTTCAAACCCTTTATCAGAACGATAATTCTTCAAATAATTGGTTGTGGATTCCAGAATATCTATAACATCTGGGAGATAGCAAACTTCTCCAAAGTAGAAGTATGTAACAAAGTTTATTCTATTTAAGATGTTGTACCACAACACAATAAGACACAAAAATTTAAAGTTATTCAGTTCTTTTGAAAGAGATTCAGCATCAGACTGTGCCATTGCCGTGTGAGAGTTCTCTCTCGAAATTTCAGAGAGAGCATCAAAAATTTCTCCAACCTGGAACCTAAATGGACGAATAGCATCTATTCTTGAAGACCATCTGGTGTCAGACAAAGGTTTAAGCGTAAGTCTGCCAATGTGCTTCTTCAAGACATTCCACCGAACTGTGGATCCTGACAAAAACACATAGATTTTCTGTACAATAGAAAAGAAGGTTGCAGCATCCCTGCATGACATGGCTGCATCATTCACAACTAGATTTAAGGTATGAGCGCTGCAGGGAATATAAAAGGCACGCAAGTTTAAATCCAGGATTCTTTTCTGAACACCTTGGTGTTTGCCCTTCATATTGGATCCATTATCGTATCCTTGTCCTCTCATATCACCAACTGGGATCTTAAGTTTTTCAAGTTCAGACAAAATTGCCTCAGTTAAACCTTCTCCCGTTGAACTTTGGATTTGGATAAAACCTAGAAATTTTTCATCTATACAGATCTCTGGTTCAGCAGTTGGAGACTCGCCTTCCTTGATGGACACAAATCGAACAATTATAGTCATTTGTTCAATTAAAGTAATGTCTGGTGTGCAATCAAGTATTATAGAATAATACTTTGCATTTTTCAACAACTGCAGAATGTGTTTTGTGATTTTTCGCTATAAGGCTGATGAGTTCGTTTTGAATGTCTTTCCCCAAATAATGTTGGAAAATGTCCTTATTTTTTATTCTCTTCAGATGTTCCTGCATAACGGTGTCGAATGTGGCCAGCATTTCCACAAGTTGCAGATAATTCCCATTATTGTCACTGTATAATGTATCTCTGCTACCTCGGAAAGCCAAGCATTGGCAACCAAGATATTTTACTATGCCTATAAGGCGCTTAACAACATCTTGCCAATGTTGTGTTTCATTTGCCAACAATCTCTGGGAAGCTGCATCTATCGTTTTTCCACAACCAAATCTTCTCAAGAGTTCATTCCAGTCTCTTATAGCAACAAGATGAGAGTTAGACTTTTCATGAATGGAAAGATTTTGAGATAAGTTTTTCCAGTCATTATAACCTCCACGTGTCAAACTTGTAGTGACTTTAGTTGCAAATAGCTTACAACAAAAACAAAATACTTTGTTCAATTTGACAGAATAAACCAGCCAGTTTCTAAAGGTTTCTTCTCCGTTTTGCAGCCGTCGCTTGTAATTTGCTTTAGTGAAACATGTATTCGCTGCATCTTTGGGGAAAATTAAGTTAGTTTTTTGCTTTGCAGGACCTTTCCTGACAAGAGCATCCCTTAGTGAGGTGGTGAAAACAGCTGGCCAATTAGCTGGATCAGACAAATCCAGTATTGCCAAAGAAGTAGATTGTTCCTCCTGCTGCAGTTCCTCTCTTTCTTCTTCTTCATCATTTGATTCTTCTGGGTCAATAGTCTTCTCAAGGTAGACAGAGTGTGATGATGTGGAAGGTTGCTCATCATCTTGTTGTTCTGGTATTTTTCCAGTATTTGCATCATCTACATTAACAGCCTCTTGGACTGAGATGGGCTGTTTGAATGATGATGTTGAAGATTCATCGATATCGATTTGTACGGGTTCGCTTGCAACATTGGAAACTGGTTCTGATGCAGTGGTATCCTGCTTTCTCCTTTTGTGAGAAGTCAAGTACTCCTTTAAAGCTTCAGACATCCGCTTCCCAGCTTTCTCTTTTTCTGCTCATCTTTGTCTGAACACTGCCCCTGATGATTTATTTTCCTTAAATAGTTTCGGCATTTTGAATATACTTTTTCAGCTATATAAAGAATAAGAATGATGTTTAATTTCACACACACAATTAGGAATTATAACTGTAACGGAGCTCCCTGTACTCTGACCGAGTACCCTCCGTTGATGGATGCTCCTAGCGCTTCCCGAGGACTCCAAACACTGCAGCCGACACCACAACCACCGCAGACTCCACAACCGCCGTAGCTTAACTGGAGTCTCGCCGTCTTCCTTCCACCCTGGATCAGCTTCTGTCCTCCAGGACCGTGTGGGGAAGACCTCTCCTCCAGGAGAGCGTAACAGGAACAGCTCTTAAAAGAGCTAAGTGATTAAAAGCTCAGGGGAGTATGCAGAGCATAGCAATCCCCAGTGTGATATAGCAGTTCCCTCCAATAACGAGACAAGGCTACGTATTGAGGGTCAAGAAGATCTGATGTTTAATGGCACACACTCTGCTTTTATGAGATTCTGCCCATGCAAGGGAGACACCCACATAATTAGCAGTATAACCAATCGGAACAATATACATTCGGGGAAATTCCCATCCCTCAGATAATCACATAACATAATTAAAACAGAACAGTAAAAATACAGTTTTTATACATGTACTATAACTTCCAAACTACACATCCAATCTTCATAAAAATTACATATTTGGAATCAATCCATTAAAGGGGAGCAACATATAAAAAAATGGCACAAATCAGACAAGGGGTTCAAAAGTTAGCAAAAGTGTCTTTTGGGGCCTGGCTGGCAGCATGGTTTTCTGGCCCAAACCGGTTTTACAGAGGCCCCTATCCTGGACAATGGGCAAAGTAATCCAATTATCCAGGGATAGAGGCAGACTCCATTAACAGCAAAAGACACAAAAAGACACAAAAATACATAACTCCTATTGAACTGAACAGAACCCCCACATTCAACCTATCCCCAGATGGCTTGGATCTGAGCGCTCAATATATCCAAACAGCGCTCAGATCCCACAAATACAGTCAAATCGCCATACACACTAGGTCCATAGTCATGGGGCAGAAGGCTGGCAATTAGGCTTCTCCATAACACAGGGAAGCAGGGCAATTTGTCAAATAAAATAACAGTTACAAAGGGCAGTTTGTAACAATAACATTATAAGGAAAAGTGAAATTTAATCCGTAGCTCAACCTGCCTTCCTTGCTCTGGTCATGTTCCCTGATGCAGGTTCTTTCCTTCGCTGCAGCAGCTAGAACAGGCCAGCCTTGTCCAAACCATTCCTTCCTTTCATTGTGTTCCTCTCAGAGTATCTGCTTCGCTTCTCCACCAACTCAATAATCCCTCAAAGTTCAAACCTGCTTGTTGCAGGGCTTGACAAATTTGTTTGCGATCTAGGGGCCAGCTAAAAAAGTTGGGAGCAAGATTTTCCAAAAAAAACCAACTATTTTTAAAGGGACACTATAGTCACCAGAACCACTACAGCTTAATATTCTGGTGTCTAAAGCCTGCCCATGCAGGCCTTTAAATGTAAACACTGCATTTTCAGAGAAAAGGCAGTGTTTACATTGCTGCCTATTAACACCTCTAGTGACAGTCACTCAGATGGCCAGTAGAGGTGATTCCTAGTTCAGTGCTGCACAGTGTGCATCTTTACGAGTATATTGTCGCAGTGCAACGTTTTGCAGCGCATTTACAATAGACTTCCAATGCTTTCTTACAAGAAAGGAGGGGGGGGGGGGAGGGAGGCAGAGGAGGTAACCTAGAGACACACATATTTTGTCATACACTCACAAATTATTATTTATTTATTTTAAGCACACCCAGCCTCCCTACCTTTGGGAGAGCTGAAGTGGATTCTTTCACTAGGATGCGGTGTGGCTACTCTCTATTCTCCCTGCCCTTCTTTCTCTGCTCCATTGCGTGCTGTTTAATGATGCTGGGGCCGGAGTGACGTCATATTCCAGATGCATGCATCACTAACCAGCATGGGAAGAAACAGAGCAAGAACTGCAGGAAGATTACTGCTCCATGCTCCCTCGGCCAGCCGCATCTGGTGAATGGGTTAACACTAGTGATGTCGCGAACCCGAAATTTTCGGTTCGCGAACGGCGAACGCGAACTTCCGCAAATGTTCGCGAACCGGCGAACCGCCCGAAACGCCATTGACTTCAATGGGGAGGCGAATTTTAAAACACACAGGGACTCTTTCTGGCCACAATAGGGATGGAAAAGTTGTTTCAAGGGGACTAACACCTGGACTGTGGCATGCCGGAGGGGGATCCATGGCAAAACTCCCATGGAAAATTACACAGTTGATACAGAGTCTGGTTTTAATCCATAAAGGGCAGAAATCACCTAACATTCCTAAATCACAATCAATATGGATTGACACCTGACATATGACATATTGACACCTTGACATATGGATTGACACCTGTCCTCAGAGCCCCTGATGCACACGGACACAGAGCAGAATAGAGACTGGTCCCCCTACATAGGGTCACTTGGCAGATATGGATTGACACCTGTCCTAAGGATCCCTGATACACACTGACACAGAGCAGAATAGGGACTGTTCCCCCTACATCAGGTCACTTGGCAGATATGGATTGACACCTGTCCTAAGGTTCCCTGGTACACACTGACACAGAGCAGAATAGGGACTGGTCCCCCTACATCGGGTCACTTGGCAGATATGGATTGACAAATTGTTACAAACTGCTATTTGTAACGGGCCCTTTAAATGGCAAATTGCCCTGCTTCCCTGGGTTGTGGAGAAGCCTATTTGCCAGCCTCCTCCCGCATGACTATGGCCCCTGGGAGATTGTGAAAATGTATGCACTTTTATTTGGTGTGTATGGCCCTTTAAGACTGTCGGTGGGCATATTGGGGCTTATGGACTCTTTATGTGACTGGTGCTGGCCCTTTAAACACCTTTTTGGGACATCAGGAAGATTGGGACACTGCCCCTTTAAGGCCGTGTCCCCAGACTTGTTGGGGACACGGCCCCTTTAAGACGGTGTCCCCTGTGTCCCCAGACCTGGTGCAAACCCTTTGTGCCTGCCTTGCTATTTCCCACTTGGTTCAGTAAATGGAAATTATTTCAGCTGCAGAGACTAAGTCCCATTCGGCGATGGGACTTAGTCTTTTTTTCAGCCGTTTTTTTCAGCCTTATTTCAGCTGTAGAGACTAAGTCCCATTCGGCGATGGGACTTAGTCTTTTTTTCAGCCGTTTTTTTCAGCCTTATTTCAGCTGCAGAGACTAAGTCCCATTCGCCATGGGACTTAGTCGTTTTTTCACAGTCGCTTTTTTCAGCCTTATTTCAGCTGGGAAGAGAGAATTCAAGTCCCATTCGGCGATGGGACTTAGTCATTTTTTCAGTGTGAAATTTACCGACCGCACAGCCCAAATCTATGGAACTGTTTTGGGCAGGAAAATGTGCTTGCGTCGGTCATAAAGGGACCTCCAGCTAACTTTTTAACCCCTGGATGGATTTGGCTGATTTTTGGTTATGTTTATGTTTTAAGTGTGCTGATTCCAAATATGTACTTATGAAGATGGGATGTGTAGTTTTAAAGTTACAGTGTATGGCTAAAAACTGTATTTTTACTGCCTGTGTTTAATTATGTTAATCTCTTCTCAAACGTCATTTCGTTCAAAGTGGAGAGAATGTTAAAAAAATATATTTTTGTTCGGAGTGTGAGAAATGCTTTTCAGCCGCTTCTAATCTTAAGCATCATTGAGGAGCCATACAGGAGAGAAACCTTATTTGTGGTGTGTTTAGTATTGTTCTGATCAGTTTAATACCTTCCGCGTCTCCTATCAGTGGACGTGTAT